TGATGAGGAAACATGATGGGATGCACAATGAGTAATAATATTAGCATTAGTGGTTTGTTGTGCATCATAGCAAAATTTAGCAATATGGCCTTTACGGACGCAAATTGATCACTTATAAATTTTGCCATAAATGTGTGCATAGTGAGTCTTAGATTTGGAAGAATTAATATGTGACTTTGCACATAAGTCCATAAATTTTTTATTATTATCAATACATTTTAAAGGTTGAATCTAATGAAGATATTCGGTTTATCATGTGATTCAACTCATTATTAGGCACATATGCATTAGCAATAGAAGTAGGGCAAACATGATCATTCTTAAAAGAATTAAATTCATCCCTAATAGTTTCTACTTCTAATAAGGCATCATTCTTCTCACGAGTTATACTAGCAACTTTGGAAGTCAAGTCAATATGATCCAATTTTAATTTTCATTGTTTTCTTTTAGGATCACATTTTCTTTAGCAATAGAATCAAATTTAGAAGGTAGCATATCATGATTGGATTTTAACTCTACATGCTTACTTTTAAATCAATAAAATTATGATGTAACTTTTTACAGGCATGTATTAATCTATCATAAGCACAAGCGAGTTCATCAATAAATAAATCATCATCAAAATCGAACTCGCATACCTCACTAGGGCTATCGCCTAGTGACCGTGTGCACGATGAGGCTCCAATTGTACTTGAAGTAGAATCCGTCAAAGCACGTCGAATCTCCTCCAAGTTTCCTCGAAGTGTTTCTATGAGTTTTTACAAATTGTAAGCACAATCAAAAGAAGCAAGCTTGTTAGAAATAGATGAGTCAATACATTTAGCAAAAATTCTAACAATAGCTTGTTTATTGTAAACATTCTCTTATCATTATTACTCTACTTGGATTTTTCCAAAATGGGTACAACTGTTTGTGGGAAAATTTGCAGTAAAAGAAACGAAGGAAAATTGATTTGTATTCCTTTAATCTCAGTTACAATTGGATTTCCTGATTACAAAAGAGAAGAGAATGATCTGGATTCTCTCCTTTGTTTAATTCTGGGTTCTTCACGGTGGCGATGAGATGCCTCCCTCGAATGCTCGTGTCGAGTTTGCTTCTCGTTGATGATCCGATGTCTTGTTTCACTGGAACGTGGTCTTCTCCTCACGATTTGACGTTGTGGAGAACTCTGAACGAGTTTGAAACTCTATGAAAGAGTTGATTTAACCGAAAGTCGGTTATAAACCAAGGATGAAGAAGATCTTGTTGCCGATCTCCAAAGCTCCAACCGAAGGATGAAGGATCCTCTTTTCGCTGTCAAGAAGTTCCAACCGACCGCCCGAAACTGAATTGATTTTTAGTTATTTATAGGGGATTAAGGGGTGTAACCACCTCCTTAATTCGCTCCTCAGTGGGGCTAATGGGATGTAACCGCCCCTTAAATCACTCCTGAGTGGAGTTGTGATCCCCTCAAATCGTGGGAAACGGTTTTGAAACCGTTCAACTCGTGTTTGAACGAGTCAAACGCAGATCCTGCATTCTAGCATGAATTTAATTTTTCCTATGCACAATGGGCTTCTAGATTTAAACTATTTGTTGAATCTAGAAATATCGATTTATGAAAAGTTATTAATTGTGCTTATATTGTGCCCACATTGGAGAAATCCAAGTGGAGCCATCATGATGAGAAAATTGGGAAACGGTTTTGGAACCGTTCAGCTCGTGTTTGAACGAGTCAAACGCAGGCCCGTGTTCTGGCATGGATTCTGTGTCAAAACACAATGCCTAAAAGCTTGAACACAGCATCTGGAAGCTCGGACGCAGCGTTTGGAATTTGCGTTGTGCAGCGATTTGGAGCTGCGTTCTGTGGCTGATTGGAGCTGCGTTTGAGCAACTGTTTGAACTGCGTCTGACAACGATTGGAGTTGCGTCTGGCAGCGGATTGGATTTGCGTCTGGCAGCGGATTAGAGCTGCGTTCTGCGGCTGATTGTTGAAACTGCGTTTGGCAGCGATTGGAGCTGCGTTTTAGCTGTGCTTGGCAGCGATTGGAGCTGCGTTTTGACTGCGTTCGTGGCTATGAACATGGTGCGTCTTGATGCTGGTACGCGAGGAGGACCCCCACGTCTTGGTTTGAAGAGACCGTCGATTTGTAGTCTCTTTCTGTCAGAGCGTTGCAAAGATCGTCATTTTGTAATCTTTGCTTTAGCTCTTTGATATGTGAGAGTCGTCAGATTAATCTTTGCTTTAGCTCTTTGATATGTGAGAGTCGTCAGATTGTAACTCTCGATGTTGATTGTGAAGGCTTCTGGAAGTCGTCAGAGTGTAACTTCCATTATTGGTGTTTTGATGGGGATCAACTATCTATTGTGATTTTTTGACAGCCTACAACAACATAAACATAATCAATAACTTCCCATAAATCAAAATATTTAGATCTAACAAAAAGTTTAAATCTAACACAACATTGAGCATAAGGGGAATTAATGAATTTTGGAGTAATATTAATGACATAACCTAAACTAGGTGCACCATGCATATCCATGATAAATAATGCAAGCAATATAAAATAATCTCAAAACTAGATTAGCAAGATATAAAAACTTAGATCTTTGACTCTAGGTGATGAAGCCACAAATCAAGAACACTAAGCTCTGATACCAAATAAAAGTACCCTAGAAAGGGGTTGAATAGGGTAATTATTAATCTAATCCGATATTAATATTAAACTAAAACTTATTAACTAATATCCTAGCAAGTATGATACGCAATAAATTATAAGCAAGGATAAACAATGATAAACAATATGACAATAGGCGATATAAAAATGAGCACAAGATATAAGAGAAATATACGCCAATATCAAACACAAACATAAGAAAATGATCACGGAGTTCGGTCGACCCACGACCTACGTCTTCACTCATTACCCTCGAGGAGAATCTCCACTATCAACACAAAAAGTTACACAATCGGTTTTTAACGCTCACCGATAAACGTTTACAACTCACACAATTATCAATACACAATACACTCCTCTAAGTCTTGGCCTAGCCCATGTTATCTTTCTCAAGTGTTCGGAATTACAACATCTCCCTAGGATTTACAACCGACGTCACTCCTTATAAAATTGACCTCGTATCTCACCAACCACTTCTCTAAGTATCCTTGTGTATTATAATGTGTTCTCTCAATAATAAAGCTCAAATACAATGGTTTGTTCTCTAACAAAGATGAGAACGAAATTCTAAGCTCACTCTTAAAGATATAATCTCACAACCCAAAATATACTATATGTGAAAATACTAAAGGCTCAATAGGTTGTGTGTGTAAACAATGAGTATAATCAAATATAAACTCAATTCAATCTAGCATAAATATATGAGAACAAAAAATAATAAATTTGCTAAAAGATGATTTTAGAAAAACTTCTCTAAAACAATCAAGGAATGTAGATGTTTGAGGTTGAAATCCTCAAGAACGTTGTTGCAATAACTCTCTAGTGAAAATCACTGCACACAAGCAAACCACAATTGATTTTTCTTTGAAACCCTTAAACAAAGACTTGTAAAACTTGTTCTAACCTCCCATTTCCTTAATTTTTGAAAATGAAACCAGAGAGAGATATATAGGCTCTCATTACAACAGTTCAAACACAAAAAACAAGGCAAAAACCAACAAAAAACAAAGTCTGGAAAACTAGCCGTTATTTGCAAAGAACATATATTCGGTCGACCGATAGACTTGTGTCGGTCGACCGGTGGGTGTCTATCGGTCGACCGATACAAGTGTGTCGGTCGACTGAAAAACCCTGAGAACTCAAATACTAAAAAACTCTTTCTGGTCGGTCGACTGATCTGACCCGTTCGGTCGACTGATGACTGATAAACTGATACATGCAAAATCTAAAATTTTTAAATCAATTAAAAATAATAAATTTACTCGAAAAATTATGAAATTTTGGGAAACGTTTATAAACATAAAGATGAGCATTATAGAGAAGAATTTTTTGAAAACGCTATTTTCATTTGTGAAAACTCGTCATTTTACAAAAGTGTTAAAAATAAGAGTTCGTTTAAAAACACTTGATTTTGACAAAATGATATCAAACAAGTTTGAATCTTCTTTTAAATAGATTAATAGACTTTATGAAAGATATACAATAGTTATATTAAGTCATTAATCCACAACACATTATTTTGGAAATCGGTAAACCATACGATCTTGTTAAAACTTAACTTTAACAAATTTCTTTCAAACAAGTTTTGAAACACTTTAAAATAGATTTGTAGATTTGAGAAAAGATATAAAATTGTGTCGTTAAGTCTATAATCTAAAAATGGCGATAAATCAAAATAAACAGTAAATCAAAACAAATGTGTGTATGACTTTTGAGTTCTAAGTATAAACACACAAAGTATAAACCTAAAATATTTTAGCCAAGCAATTTGATCTTCAATAAGCTCGACTTGGTAGGATGAAGCGCAATAGATAATCTTTGACTTGAATGCACAAATGACTTCATTTCGATGTTAATAAAACTTTGACTTGAATGCACAAATGACTTGGTAGGATGAAGCGCAATAGATAATCTTTGACTTGAATGCACAAATGTGGAATAAAACTTTTTTTTATTCCACTAAATCCCTAATATCTGAGGTGTCTCACCAAACCACTTTAAACTTTCAAATTTTCCCCCATCGAACACTATTAACGATGTTAATGGAGTCGTTAATCATTATTTTGGTTGGGTAGCTTGTTGATTCATTAGGAATGTTTTTTTCCCGCTATTGTTTTTGGGTTTTGGTGAATTCCCAAAAGTTGGGGGGGAGGTTAGGTGATCTTTATAATTTAGAGATGTTATCTCAAAATAGTCCAATAGACAGGGGGTCATATGAAATTTACCCTAAAAGTAAAGTCGTGATTCCCTTTCACTGAAGAAAGAAGTTGAGGCTGGTTAACCAAATAGTATACCACCTTGAAAATCACCACAATGGCATGAGAAGGTCTTCATAACTTTCCTATGAATTTCCCTTTATAATTACTATTGATCCTCTCTTATCACATAAGCCCTGATCTTCTTCTTGTTTATTTGATCCATCATCGATGGATCCTCCACCTGCACCAGTCATCTACATTTGTGGAGGTATCTACGAATAA